TTATTTCTTCTGAGAAGTTTCTCTTTAAAGCATTAGCCCATTTATTAAATTGGCTGTTGTTTCTTTGCTGGTTTATTTTTGGGGAGGATGGTTAATTTTTTTTATTTTTTTTTGTTTTTTGTCGGTCATGGGGCTTGAACTCTGTCCCTCAGCTCTTCAGCTCAAGGCGAGCGCTCTACCACTTGAGCTACAGCACCACTTCCGGTTTTCTAGTGGTTTATTGGAGATAGGGGTCTCACGGTCTTTCCTGCCAGGGCTGGCTTTGAACTACGATTCTCAGATCTCAGCCTCCTGAGTAGCTAGGATTACAGGCGTGAGCCACCAGAGCCCGGCAGGATGGTTATTTTTTGAGTGTTTAGTACATTTTTGATATTAGACCCTTGCCTGATGTATACTTGGTGAAAAATTTCTCCCATTCTGTGAGTGTTATTTCATCATTTTGTATTTATTATTTGTTTTAAAAATACTGTACAGAGAGGTTACAGTTACATGAGTAAGATAATGAGTACATTTCCTATCGAGCATTGTTACCTCTTCCTTTGTTTTTCTCCTACCATCCCATCCCTCCCTTCCTCCCTAACTACTCCCCCCCCCCACGTTGTAAAGTTCCTTTTCAACATAGTGTCTTAGTATTTCTTTTTTTGTTGTGATTCTAGATCTTAGAAAGTTTTTGACCTGTAGCATATGAGCTCTGGTGTTTCCCTTACCTCTTTCTGTAATATTTTCATAATTTCTGGCTTTACATTGAAGTTGTTAATCCATTTTGAATTGATTCTGCCTTTGGGACACAGCAAAGACAGTACTCACAAGAACATTTATATCTTTGAGTGCCTATATCAACAATTTAAAGAAATCTCAAATTAATACTCTAATGATGTGCCTCAATCTCAGCAGGAACAAATCAAAGACCAAACCAATAGATGGAAAGGAATAATAAAAATTAGAACAGAAATAAATGAATTTGAGACTAAAAATCCACACAATGTATCAACAAAATGAAGAATTGGTTCTCTGAAAAAAATAACAAAATTGACAGACCCTTAACAAATCTAATTAAGAAATCACCCAAACAAATAGAATTAGAGATGAAAAAGTGAACATTAGAACAGGAAAAAAATTCAGATTATAAGGAAATACTTTGCAAAACTTTATGTCAAAGAATCAAAAAATCTGGGATTCTCTGATGCATTCATAGAGCACATAGATCTACCCATTCCAAATGAAGATTAAATCCAATGAAATAGACCAATAACAAGTAATGAAATAGAAATATCAATAAATGACTGCCCATCCAAGAAAAGCCCAGGATAGATTTATAGCTGTATTCTACAAGGCCACATTCTTCAATGAAATACAAAGGAAAGATAACTACCAAACCCATGAAGCACTATTGCACTCATACCAAAATCAGAGAGGAACCCATCAAACAAAGAGAACTATAGATATATCTCTTTGATGAACATCAGTGCTAAACTTCTTAATAAAATTTTTGCCAACCAAATTCAATAACTAACCCCCAAAAGGCATACACTATGTTTAAACAGGATTCATCCTAGGGATGTAAGTCTGATTCAACATACATAAATCAACATATGTAATACAGTACAACACATCAACAGAAGCAAGGACAAGAATGAAATGATCATCTCAATAAATGCAGAAAAAGTTTTTGATACTATCCAACACCTTCTTATGAAGCTCTGTAGAAGCTAGGAGTACATGGCATCCTCAAAATAATAATGGCTCTGTATGACAAACCTACAGTCACTATTTTACTGGTGAAATCAAAAACAATTTCTTCTAAAATCAGGAACAATGCAAGGACATCCAGTCTCTCCAACCTTCTTCAGTATAGTACTGGAATTCTTAGCAAGAGTAAAAAATGAAATGGATCCAAATAGGGAAAGAAGAAATAAAACTCTCCCTTTTTGTAGAGGACATGATCAGGTTTGTAAGGGACCTATAGTCTCCTCCTCAAGCTACTAGAGCTGATCCTAAACTTTGGTAAAATATCGGGTTACAAAATAAACCCACAAAAATGAGTAGCTCTCCTGTATGCCAGTAATGAGAAGAATGAGACTGAAATCAGGAAACCAAACCTATTTGTAATACTCTCTACCCTACCCCCTCCAAAACTAGAATTTGACCAAAGATATGAAAGATCTCTATTGTGTAACTTAAAAGTTTCAAAAACAAAATTGAAGATTTAAGGAAATGGAAGGACCATCCAAGTTCCTCAATTGGAAGAAATAACATTGTGAAAATACTGTCCAGGGAAATTTACAAATCCAATGAAGAATCCATCAAAATCCCAAGAACATTCTTCAATGAAGTAGAGAAAGTAATTTAAAAATTCATATGGAATAACAGAAGACCCTGAATAACAAAAGTAATCCTTTGCAGGAAGAATGTAGTTGGAGGAATATCAGTAAAAACCTTCAAACTCTTTATGAAGCCCTAGTAATAAAAACAGCTTGTTACTAGCACAAGAATCGGCCTGAGGATCACTGAAACAGAATGGGAGAACCAAAAATGAACCCACAGACCCACAGCCATCTAATATTTGATAAAGAAGCCAATAACTATTGGCTTGTCACATACAGACAACTGAAACTAAGTCTTTATATATCACATGAGCTTTTGAAGCAACAAACTCCTCCCTTCTGACACCTTATAATAATATTTGCTTAAAATGGACTCTGGTACTGGTGATGTAGCTGAATGGTAGAGTGGTTGCCTAGAATATTAAAAGCCCAGCTTCAACCCCCAGCACTATAAAATGAAGGTGGATTGGAAAAAAATTGTATTTTTCATATGGCACTGTATGACCACAGTAAGCAACACTCTAATATTGATTATTTTTTAAATTTATACTTTTCTTTTTTAAACAAATTAATTAAGTTTACCATTGAATACCATACTTTTGAATATATGAAGTCCTGTTTGAATTTAAGTTAAATTTATATAAAGATATAAATCTCAGGTAGTAATGTTATAGCAATAGCTTGCAGACTTATGCATGTATTAAAATTAATTTCTGGTCTTGATTTATTGAAGGACAACCTCAGAGACCCTATAACTAGCTTGCTCACTTGATTTCAAATGGCATTAAACGTGTATGCAGAGGCACAACAGTATCATGTAATATGTTATTAATTTTACTTAAAATACTCTATTGTCATTTTTAGTTCCACTAAACAACCAGTACATAATCAATATATAGAACATAAATAAATAATATAAAAGGACAAAAACATGCATTTTACATTCTCCTAATATTGTTTTTTATTTATATTGGGGTATATAGAATTTTAATTTTTCTTTTTTCTTCTCTCTGTCTCTCTCTATCTTTGTCTCTTTCATTCTCTCTCCTCTCTCTCTCTCTCTCTCTCTCTCTCTCTCTCTCTCTCTCCTCTCTCTCTCTCTCTCTCTTTCTCTCTCTCTCTCTCCTTTTCTCTTTTGTTTTTGTGCCCATACTGGGGTTTGAAATTAGCCCCTGGACACTGTCCTTTAGCTTTTACATTCAATGCTGGAGTTCTATCATTTAAGGTACACCTCTACCTCCAGCTTTTTGCTGGTTAATCAGAAATTAATCTCAGACTTTCCTGCCCAAGCTGCTTTCAAACCTCCATCTTCAGATCTCTACTCTGAGTAGCTCTGATTACAGGTGTTAGCTACAGACCTGGAAATTTAGGGTTTCATATTTAAATACACAAGCAAAACAAAATAATTGGATGATTCTGTTTGCCTTTGAAGATTATTAGTTACCTAGCATGATTTATAATCTCTCGATTGTAAATAAAATATAACGCATTGTATTTATACATATTTTGTCAATTACTCTATTTAAATAAGGTAATTCTAGAAGGCTTTTGCCTGTTCATTGTGACTGGAATGAATAACAGGAATTACAGACAGAGAGAGTATTGAAAGGCTAGGAGAATGACTTTTAGACATTATGTTTCACAGACTTTCGTATTTCAATGTATCTATCTGACATAGGTTTTCAAATGTTTATTTTAATGTATTGATTATGAGCCCACAACTATTTATTTTAGCTATGATAAATAATGCTGCAATAAACATAGTTGTGTTGATAGCTTTAGTATGGTCTTGTTTGTGATCATTCGAGTAAATGCCCAAAAGTGGGATTGCTGGGTCACAGGGGAGCTCTATGTGGAGTCTTTTGAGGAACCTATAAGTGAAGTAAGACAAACCCAATGAAATACAGGTCTCATGATTTGCCATATTTTTAGTAACTAGTATGTGTCTGGGACAAGCAGAAAAGGTCAGATAAGATTATGTTAAGTGAGAGGAACTCCAAGATAGGGACACAAGTGTTTTTGTCTTTCTTGCTACTGTTTCTAATGAATTTATAAGGTACCATGTGAATTTTGTGTTGCTTTGTATGCCCCTCCCCCATGGTATAACCCGTTTTCACTGTATTTGATGCTGGTATAATTTGGGAAGGGGAAGGGAAAAAACAGAGTGTTTAAATAGGGATACAGGTTGACCCATTGCAACACTGAGGTGATCAAGACAATATGTTGAAAATGAACTTAACCATTTAGGCAGAGGTGGGGGGTGAAGTTGTGGAGGTGGGAGGGAAGGGATGGTAGAGAAAAAGCAAAGAAGGAGGCAACAATGCTTGATAAGAAATGTACTCATTACCTTGCTCATGTAACTGTAACCCCTCTGGAGGTACAGTATTTTTCACAATAAAAAACTTATTTAAAAAGATTTGTTTTAGAGATGATTCAAAGGAAGAGAATGGACCATCTACAAAAATCATAATGTAGTAATCATACTATAACTTGATCTTTGTGAGGATTTCATTGTCTATAATTGCCATTGCAGCTACAGTACCTAGGAATGTATTTTGCTGAAGACAAAGACAATGTATTTTTTTCAATATTGTTACTTGCTTCAGAGTCATTCTTCTAGACAACATTTAGGTTTAAGCACAGTCTCCCATAAAATAGCACTTTGAACATGCCTACCTTGCACAGTTAGGTGCACTTGCATTGTTCGCGGTGTATGTTGAGTCTGAACAGAACACGTGTATGGGCCATCATCTGTCACATCTACATTCTGTATCTGGAGGCTGTAATCTCTTTTATTCAATGTTGAAATTGAAACCCGAGGATCCACTGACCACTTATCGCCTCCGGCAAAAATAATACTTGATCGGTTCAGCCAGGCACCCTTTGAAGCTCCATCTTCCAAATAACACCTAAAAATTACCAGAGACAGATGCCATTAATCAAAATGAAAATGAGAGAAAACATTATCTGTGTTCTGAGAGTTATTTCCATATGTGTAATAATAGCACACCGTCCAGTGCAAACATCAGACATAAGCTCAGGAGACATGAATATACCAGGATAGCTGGCATTCCCATTGCAAATGTGAAACAATACCTGAATACAATTGTCAGTCCTTTAAAGGCATGTCCTACGTGCATATATTTCAACCCAGCTCAAAATTGCTTTCTCATTCTGTCTGCATGGTAAATAAAATGTAAATAAAGTTAAATAAATTCAAACAAGAACTTTCTATATTGAAATCTACAGCTATGTTTGAAATGATAAGGAGTAGGAAAGGCCTATAGGTTAACCTTGTTTGACAGAATACAAATTTGCATATAACAGAGGTAGGAAGTATAAATGAGGCCAACTAAGTGCTCATTTTCAAATTATTTCCTTGAACTGTTATTATTATGTAATTGTGTAAGTGTTTTCAATTCAGCCTGTGAGTTTTTGAGTACAAAGCATATTGATCCATGTCCTCTTCCATCATTCTCCACCATCTCTCCCAACCCCAGCCCTCAATGTACCTAGTTCTATTTCACATGTATTCACTGAACATTATGCCTGTTTTTGCCTACTCTGCTCTTCTCTCCATTTATCTGTCCCTCAACCTTGCACTTCTGCCTCCTAAGTACTGACAAAACATATTCTAGCTTCTTGGTATAAATTTTGTTAAACTGCCGGGCACTGGTGGCTCACGCCTGTAATCCTAGCTACTCAGGAGGCTGAGATCTGAGGATCGCGGTTCAAAGCCAGCCCGGGCAAGAAAGACCGTGAGACTCCTATCTCCAATAAACCACCAGAAAACCGGAAGTGGCACTGTAGCTCAAGTGGTAGAGCGCTCGCCTTGAGCTGAAGAGCTGAAGGACAGCGCCCAGGCCCAGAGTTCAAGCCCCACAACCGACAAAAAAAAAAAAAATTTTGTTAAACTACAAGTTTTTCACAAGAGTTACACCATTAGAATCCTCCCATCATGCAATGCTATATTTAAATAAAATGTTTGTGTATGTATTCAAATTGAAAAGCCCAGATCAAAATCCAACTATTTACTAAATAAGCACTGAAATTCTAAGGTACATTACTGATGAAACTATAAACTGCTGGATGTAGTACTTAAATACAGCAGAACTAGTATAACCCTTTTAGTAGCAATTTTTTGCTGTCTTTTCAATATTTTTCTAAGAAGCACTCATTTTTCACCACATGTAAGGCACACAGTTATGGTTTCAAAATGTGCCTCAATCTTCAAATGTTTTAGGCTTCTAAGAACAGTTGAAATACCAACTATTAACACTGAAAATATTTTATTATATTGTGCACAAGATATACTAGCTATAAAAGAGAATTACATAACATAGTAAGGTGATGAGAGAGGAGAGAAAAGTTTTTGAAGATGGCAATGCCTAGATATAAAGATGATAGTTTAAAAACACAGCTTTGTAGACAGAAATTTGATATATGGACCATGCCATGTAAAGAGCTAGACATTTCAACAAAGTGGAAATAATCATAAGATGCAGGGTAAAAGGTCTGAAAGATTAGATTGGAAAGATCAACTAGAGCCAGAGGAGATGGTAAGCAACAGAACAACCAATGTATATTTTAAAGACAAATCAAAGCAATTTATTCAAAGTCAGATACTATAACAAGATTTATAAATGCTGTTTTAGACTTAATACAAGTCAAGCACATTACGGTTTGAACAGGAGGCTGTGGTCATAAGTGAATGATTTTGCTGAGGCCAGGAATTCTATGTTTCATCTTGAAAATGTTCTGCTACAAATTAAAGACTGGTTTTCTTAAATGAGTACAAAGCACAGCTACAGAATGAAAACACACATTCATTGAAATAGTTTGACAGCATTTCTACAGAATACCTTGGGGGATTGAACACAGTATTTGAGATTGCTACCAAATTGCCAGTTGAAAGCAACAGGGCAGGCTGCTGCCAGCTGTATGAAACTCATCAGCAGGAAAAATGTAAGGAATAAGGTGAACTGCAGAATGTAATTTGCAGCCAGTTGGCCATCTACAGAATCCAAACTTAGAAGTCAAAGTTGTAAAGTTCTTGTTAATTGAAAATTTTTTCTTTATGGAATTAATGAAGAGAATAAACTCCTTTTTTACTGGTATAATTTAACAATTACAGTGTATTATAAGTTTTAATAATATGTAGAACAAATATAGAGGAGACTTATTTCTCATTTCACAAGAAGACATTTGTTCTGGTGTAGGCTAGAATTATGAAACACCTCTTCCAGGTTGGGTAATTCTAGAGGAACCTTACATGTTTGGGTGCATGATGTGTTAACTGTTTATCATCTGCATTCATGTGTCCTAGAGGGTTCTCATAACAACTTCACAGGATATGAATTCCTATGCTCTCCATTACTACAAAATAAATGTAGATGTTTAGGTTAAATGACGTTCCGAGCCACAGTCTAAGAAAGAGGCAATGCTGAATTCATAATCAACCCTTCTATTTTCTTTTCATTCAATGTCCTTTCCACTGTAATCCAGATCAAAGACTTTTCAAGTGGGCTTCAGAAATGGGAAGATGATGAGAATGTTGCAGATATTATGGCAAGTAATTCCTTATTTACTGAATGTGACCAACTGCTTAACCTGTCCTATTCTAAAGGATGCAGAAAATTAATTATTAATGGCTAGTTTACCATGAAAGTTTGATTTACAGCCCTATGTGAGGCATATTCCTTTCCCTGGAGACTGGAACAGCTTTACCTTACTTGTGAATTGTGAACATTACAGGATTACTCAATAAATCTCAGTAGGTTCTGGCATCAGGGGCCATCACATAAGAATAGAAGCCTGTTTGCCATTCTATGGTTTTAAAATTCACACAATACATATATATTCTGCATAGAGGTTAAGGTAAAATAGAAGATGACTTTATTCCTTAAGTAGTTGATAAAATGCATAAAGTAAGCCAGATACACAAACACACATACATATGTACGTAATATATATTATGTTGATTTATTTTTACCATTATTATAGATTCCTTCAGAATAAGGACCGTATCTCCATATTCACACATTCCTTTTATTCTCTCCTTCCTCCCTCACATTTTCCTTAGTAAGAGAAAAATCCTATTGCTATAATGTGCATAATGTATTAAGAAATTCAATAAATGGAGAAAATATGCACAGAATTGTGGAGTATGGGTCAAAACCAAGTAAGAGATATTAACAACAATTTATTTTTTACTTTGGATCAACAAATGTCTTTCTTCAAGTTAATAGGTTCTGGGGTCTACAAATATCTTTTTAAAACCTGGTCTGTATAGAACTTACAGCAATGATGACAATGTATGTTCATGAATAGACAACACAGGACTAAGTTATAAGAAAACATTGCTTTAACAGGATTATCATGCATGTTTCTGAGTGTCTCTAGTTTCTGTCTGGACTCTTGGAACCAAGACCCTCCCTCCTACCACTTCATACCCAACATGTTGTGATCCATTTGGGGATTAAATCAGATTATCAACACTTCCAAACTTCCATTCCATTCCATTCATGTTCTGATGGTGGCCCACAGCTATCCCTAATCTAATACCCTAATGGTTTTCTTGACCTCATCTCAGGTCATTTCATCCCTCTACTCTGGGCTGTGGTCCTCCATCTGGGCTAGCAACAAGCCAGCTGGATTGCATCTGTCTTTCCCCTCTGATTCTTCCTTCCTGAGCTCTATTTCCCCAGGGGACTGCCTAGCTTGTTTCTTATCTACCATATCTTCACTGAATTGTCTAGGTATTAAACAGAAAAAAAAAACACACCAATGTTCCTCACATCATCATTTACCATGATATTATTTTATTTGCTCATTTTCTTTCTTTCTTAGAATACATCTATTTGATTTCTTTGTTTTATTCCAAAGGTCTACATATGATGGACAAAAATAAATGTTTACTGAGTAGATAAATGAAGACAAATTTTGAAAGTAAGATTCATATATTAATATCTTAATACTCAGCCTATTTGAGAAAGCAAAGTAAAATCCACAAAATCTATACTAACATATAATTAAATTCAAATATATGTATCTTAAACATGATGTTGCATGATGTGGAGGATGTGCTCAGTCATCTAAATGAGGTGACTGAGCCCATCATTGGCTGAACAAAGTTTTGTTGTTTCCTTTCATAAACTTTGTCTTTTGGTCATACTTGGGTTTGAACTCAGGGCATCAGGCCTTGTACTTACAAAGCAGGCAGTTCCACTAAGCCTCACGTTCAGCCCTCATTTTTACTACCTATATTTGAGGCAGTGTCTTGCTTCCTTTGGGGTACATACCTGTGTTAAAGCCACATATCTTTGAATCCTGGTTACAAGGCATGTACCAGCTGGGTATCTGTTTTTTCAGAAAGTGTCACATGAACTTTTTTCTGCCCCAGGCTAGACTCAAGTTGTAATCCCCAAAATCACAGCCTGCCAAGAAGTGAAGATTATGTATAGGGACTACCAGCATCCAGCTAAGAGTTTAAAATGTCAGCCTGAGTAGGCCGATTGCAGGCAAACAATAAAATAAATAATGTGCACCATTATTTGAAATATAATTTATACTATTTAATTACAGCTTTGTTTTTCAATTGTTCCTCATTTCGCCATTAAACATTCTGTATAATCTATTCTAGTCACTTTGTTATTCGATTTGTACATATTACTTGATCTTCAAATTACCCTTTAAACCAGACACTTCTATCATCTTCACTTTACAGATGAGGAAACAAGGGATTAGCAGGTTTAAGCTGAAAAAATTAGCCATTTTAATGAAGTGTCAGAGTATAGACAGTGGAGACTGAGGAGTTCTTGTTCAGCATTGAGGAGTTAAAGTCTAAGGACAAGGCTGGTAATGTAAGTATGGTGAGATAATTGCTGGGACCAGTGAAGCCAGAGCTCTC